CCCTTGCGCCTAAGGAACATGCCACTATACTTCTTCCAAGACAAATCTGTTCATTCCCCTACCAGCTCAGAGGTCTTTCCCCACAGCTTTGCTCAACGCAATTCTTTGATTTTTTTTTCCGTTAAAATATTAGCACTGTGGACAACCCATATACATTTTGTTGCATCTCATTTCCTGCAACCTCCTCAATGTGACACCACTAACCCCGCTGCTCTCTCGGGCTCCCTAGTCTGACCGGGCACTTGAACTAGAAATGCACACAGCCACGGGTTGTTTCATGGTTGTGCTACATTCTGTGAAAGACGTGACTTGGGAACACCACGCCATCATCGGGTCCTGCTTTTTCTTTCAACATCTTGAACAAGCTTCGTGCCTGAACAGTGATGGTCAGTCAACATGCTGAGGGAGATTTGCTTTTGTGTTTGGTCCTCCACCGGCTGGGGGGAGGTACCGCTCACGTTTTCCTTAGCTTTGTAGCTTTCAGTGGAGCCGACCTTTCAACAGCCAGGAGGGTGACTGTGGAGTTACATGCCCAAATGGCAATGGGTCTTGGCGAGTCCCTCCCCATAAAAAGGCTTCCACTGCCCTTGCTGGAAGAGTCAGAAAGCACCCCGGTCGCACTGAGGCCTGCCGCAAGGCTGAGCAAGTCTGAACAACAGGAGAGATGCAGCCCACAAGATTGCATGGATTGCCCCCCCTACCACCACCACCAAACAAGTAACAGAATTGTGGGTGAAGGGAGACAATGGACAGTGTAAGATACGAAATAATAATCACAATATAGAATTGATCAAGGATTTCCGAGGGTGGGAGGAGCTTGGGAGGGAGTGGGGGAGAGACGCTTATACCAAGGGCTCAAGTAGAAAATGTTTTGGAAATGATGACGGCAACAAACGTACACCTACGGCTGACACAATCGATGTGTGGAATGTTATAGGCCCTGCAAGAGCCCCCAATAAAAGGACTTAAGAGAGAGAGATGCAGCAGACCAGGAAACAACTATGAAACGTGCCAACCATGGAAGCTCATTCAACCTTGGCAGATGGAATCATTCTTAAGGCTTCTTGACACAGCCAGGATTCCTTACACTCCATCTTCTGTCAGCACCCTCTCCTCTTCCGAGGCTGGTCTTGAAGCACGTGGTTCAAGTCTCCAACCTTCTAAGCAGAGGGTTGGCCTTTCTGGAGTGACAAGTCTCTGATCTCCTTATCAAACACCGTCAAGAGTCCAACCGTGAGTCATCAGTTATCAGACCCAACATGAACAACAACAACAACAA